GATGACGAGGAGCTGACACTTGGAGAGAGGCGCGTTGTCAGAGATGCCACATCGGCTGGGCCTCCGGACGGGGACAGCGACAGCGTGTTAGGAAGCGATGTCCTAACTAGTTGTCTTGAGATAACTGGGCCACGTGCCAACAGTTATGTCGTCACTACCTCAGTAAGCGTACTGAAAGGTAGGTCTGGCCGGGCCAATGCCAACGGTCAAGTCAAGAGTCCAGGTAATCGCTGTATTCAACAGGAGGTTGAACTAAGGAATACATGGGTTTTCCTACAGTATATATAGTAACTGGTATAGGGGTTAATACCCAAAGAAGAGAACAATAAGAAAGGACGCGTAAGCCATCCTGTGAGAACGTAACTCAGAGAAATGAGAAATACAAGGGCGCCCATTGGTAGAAGGTGAGTCAAGGAAGATAACGTGTGAGAAGAAGATAGCGTCCATGGGAAGGTCTACTCGGAGAAAGGTACTGTCCAATAGCAATGCTCGGAATGGAAATGGAATGAGATAAGCATGGGAAAATCATAACACAGCGAGGACGAGGACGCATAGTGATATCCCGCCGCGAGCACGAATCACCCTCTTGTATTTCCCAGAATCGCCTGTGCTGTCGTGACACCCTAGAATAACTCCTTCTATTCAGACACGGATGTGGTATGATGAGTGGGATGATACATGTAGTGCTAGAAGCAGTGCAAGTAGGGCGTCAGCGGCTCGAGCCAGAGGTGAACCACTTGAGAGTGTGGCCAAATCCCATACGCGCAATCGACAAGCCAGCGAAGATGCGTAGCGGCCATCGAGGTACAGCAGACGAGAATGCACGGCGGAGCGCGCTTTGAAGGGGGCACGGCAGCGGCGATGGAGGGTATACCTATGCCGACTGGTGCTTGATACCTGTCCGCGGGCCAGCGCACATCAAGCGTCGTCGTCCTTGTCCTGAATCCACGCACCACGGCCCGGAAGATACGACGTGGCCGCGCGCCCTGGTGCCGAGAAATAGAGCCGGCCCGGGGACGGACCATCTGCTCGGACGGCCGGGCATTGGCGCGAGGCTGGCGATGCCCAGAGCGGGAAAGAGGGAGAACAGAACACCGCGCGGCCTGGGAGCCCCTCGGGCGGATAGAGACGGAGAGGAGAAGCCCGCGGTGGATGGTGAGGCATTTACTTCGAGAATGACCAGCCCGCGACACGCGTGCACGCGACGAAGGGCGCGGACAGGCGTGGGCACGGCGAGCGCCAGTCTCAGGCGCAGAGTCGCCTTGGGACGAGTGAGCGGGGCCCGGGTGATAGAGGGAGGGGCGCCACGGACACAGGCGCATCGACTCACCAGTTGCAGATCGACTGCACAGGAGCGGAGACGCCAGGGCACGGGACGGGTAACTGAGGAGCAATTTGAACGGATGGAATGAGAGGAGGAGGCACGCGTGCACGCTGGGCGGGTGGGTGGGTGGGTGGTTAGATATGGAGTGGTGCTGCAGGGCATCAGGCGCACGCGGTACCTACCTAGCGTGGGCCCCCGAAAGGTACGGAGATGCCCCGGACGGCGTTCGGGAGCGACGAAGAGAACATGCCTGGTGCTCCAACATTATTGGTGGCAAACTGCGCGGAAGACGAGGTGATGTACGTACGACGAGCGGGCGCGTCTATGGGAAGGGGTATGGCATGGTGCGTACCACCCTGCCCGCGCCCGCGCTCGACGTCCGCGCGACCGGGACGGGGTGGCGTAGAGCATGAGGCTGCCGCTCAGGCCGGGGAGATGGCGGCGGGGCGGCAGGACAATTAAGGACGGTGGCGGGACTGTCCGCGAGAGGGATGGATAGTGGACGGGGCGACAATGAAGGGGGCTAGGAGACGGAGAGATCAGCTGGCTTGACAGACGGTGGAGGGGGTGGGCGGATGCCAGCGGCGACGTGAACGGCAACTTCGGGGTACAGGACGGAGAAGAATGCCGACGTCGACGGCGCCGAAGAGGGGATCCGAGTTCGCAGGTAGGGATGCGAGGCGGCCGGGAGGCGCATGTACCGATGCGACGGCGCGCTCCGGAGAATGATGTATGATGTCTGAAGCCGGAGGAGGAGCGGGTCATGGCGAGGATAGCCCGACGCGGCGAGCTGGATATGGAGGACGGAGGGATATGGACGCTCGCATCGCGTCCGATTGGTGGGGTGCTGCGTGTGCGAGGGAAAAGGCGCGTCCTCCGTCCGTGCACCGTCCCGAGTACCCGCCAACTTACCCCCAGCATCGCGGTCGACGCGCCCACGCTGCCAAACGTGATGGGGACGTGGTGGCGTAGAGCACGAGGCTGCGGCTAGTGACCCATCGGCAATGAGAGGACGGCTCGCGCGGGCACTGAACGTTAGGTGGGATGTGAGTACTAGTAACGAGAGAAGGACGCGTGTGAGGAGAGGGACGCTGGGCAGGCGGACGGGGATCCGAGTGGCCAGGCATCAAGGCGAGGGTCAGACACGCAGAACAGTCGGCAAGGCGCATGCACGGACGTATCAACGCAATAAACTCACAGAACGGGACCAAATACATACATCGCACATCGCACTCACAGATCCTCGAGAGCCCGCTTCACCCGCGCGCCCTCCGCCCACGCCAGAAACTCGGCGCAGTCCCCCGCCGCCGCCGCCGTCTCCTTCCACGCGTCCCAGCTCCCCACGAGCGTCTTCACGCCCACGATCCCCACGATGGCCTCCCAGTCTTTCACTCCCAGCGCACACAGCCCGCTCCCGATGTAGCACCCCGCGTGCGTGTCGAACGCCGTCTCCTGCAGCTCTTCACAGCTCATGTCGACTGCACCCGTCGCGAGCGGGACGAGCGCGGTCTGCAGGCAGTGCATCGTCGCGAGCATCCACCTCTGGCCCGCGGGCGTGAGCTGCCCGCGTTGCGCAGAGAACTGGGTGCAGAAGCGCAGGCCGTAGTGCAGCGGGTAGCCGGCGGGCCCGCAGTGGAAGCGCGCCTCGAGGCAGGCGGGGTAGAACGCGCAGCTGTCGTACGGCGGGCTGGAGCAGATGGCGGTGGAGTTGGTGGCGAGGGGCTGGGTGGCGCCGGCGAGGGCTGTGAACGGGAGGGCGAGGAGGGTACCGGTGCTGGGGGGGGGGGGTGTCAGCGGGGATTCGGGGCGAGTAGGAGGTTGGTACCGAATGCCTTTCATGATCATCGCGAGCGTTGAACGTTGAACGTCGGGACGAGGAGCGGTGTCGAGGGTATGAGACACGCCGCGCCCCTGACACCGCCGCAAACAGCCAATTTGATGAAGATGTCCAAGTGCCGCCCTACAAGCTTCCACGGCTCGCGAAAAACTTGAATCGAGGATTCCGGTCAAAGCGAGGGGCAAACCGCGGCTCCTCTCAATCACCACTGCAACGTACCGCGGATTCTTCAGGCAGAGTCGGGACCAGAGTTGTGAAGCAGTCAAAATGAAATCTCTCGCCAATAACTACATAGTAACTCCCACAAGGAACACGGGCTCCCAGTGGCGGGGCGCGCAGTCTCCCTCGTCTCTCTCGCCTTGTGTCTACCCATTCCGCAGGTCAATAGACATTATACCTCCTGCGCCTCCTTGTTCTCCTTTTTTTTTTACCACAGATGCTGTGGTTTCTCAGGGGTTGTTCTCCGTTCGTCGTCTCTGGTAACCCTTCCTGTTGTGCGAATTGTGGCTGGGTCCATCACCCTCTTTTGTATCTGTCCCTTGACACTCTAGGTTCCCTTCATATGGATTACTGCATCTATGTCTAGTGATCTCACTCGATGTTCCGTCCCTTCTACCCTCGTGGTTGCTGTCCATGCATGTATTCCGTTTCCCGTCCGGACTGCCATTCAGTTGTCGACGTCCCAATACGTCGGTGTACGCGCCTTGCCGACCGTTCTGCGTATCTGACCCTCGCATCTATGTCTATGCATCTCCGGCGTACACACGACCTCCTGACATCGCAACCCCCACGACATCCGGATCCCTCCGCGCTCTCCCAATACGAATCTTTCCCCTCGCCCAGTGACTATGCGAGATTTCGACGCCAGCCCCTTCCCCTCGGCGCGTCTCATCCTCTCTCGGTCACTCCGGCCCCACTATCTATCCAGCCAGCTCATGCGCATGCGTCCGTCTCCTCGCACCCTTCTCGTCCTCCCGTCCGCCCTTCTCCATTACTAGTACTCGCATCCCACTCTATGGTCCCATCCGGTCCGTTCTCCGTGCGCTCGGAGCCAGCACGGGCCCCTCCCGACCAATCTAGGTACGGCCCCGTCCGCGCGATCTCGAGCTCGTCCGCTCCCCTCCACCGCGAGTGTCCCCTGTGGCCGTCTCCATCCCCCGAGGAGGAAACAGCACCAACGACAGCCTCTATATCGTGAGTGTGTCGAGCGCGACGCTGCTCGCTGGGGAGTAGCTGATGGGTGTGGGAGAAGTACGTTCTTGCGTCTGCACACCCGTGCGTATCAGCCCCGGGCTGCGTGCTCCCGAAGGCACCGGCGTTGAGGCCTTCTCTCGCCCCTCGCATCCCACTCGACAGTGCACACCGCGCCCGTTGTCCAGTGGAGTCCCGTCAGCCCACGGAGGAAGCGGCAGCTACGACCACCAGCGCGGGTTGGGGCTCGTCCTGCCGCTTCCTCTCGGTGCAGCCACCGCGCACGGGCCTCCCCGCCTGTATCTGCGCCAGCCCCGTTCCAGCGCCTGACACTAATCCGAATTCCCGGAATTTGCGTTTGTCTCGAGCGGTGCTCGCGTCTCTGCGTCCGCGGGGGCGCATCTCCATCCCCGTGCGCAGCTTGGTTCCGACGCTATATCCGTACTGTGTCTCGCAGCTCCCGCAGCCCGACGCGTGTCCCGTCCGTCCCGTCTACCTCTGTCGTCGCTACGCATGTCTCTCCGCGCTCGTCTCCTCTCGTCCGTCGACTCCCACCTCCCACCTGCGGACTCCCGATGGAGCCCCGACACCCCGTCTCGAGTCCCCGCGGCTCTGCACACCACGTGAGGGTGCGGCGCATGCTGTTCCTCGTCGGTTGTTCGCGGAGGGAGGGGCGCGCCCCGCACTCATCTTGCTGCGAACACGCACGGCGCTGCTCCCATGTGTGTTCCCTCCTCCACACGCCCTCTCATCCCCGCCGCGCGATCCTGCAGCGACCATCCCGCGCGCGTGCTTATCCCCCATCGCACGGGCACTGGTCCCGCCTGCGGATATTCTGCAGCCCCAATCCCAGCCTTCGACGTGTTCAGGGGCGGGGACGCGCAGGCTGGCTAGGAGCTCCGAAGACGGAGGACACGGATCGATGGCAGTCCCCGCTGCTGTATTCTGAAATCCGTTAGTTGCTCTTCCGCGCTCGCAACCAGCCCCCGTCGCCGCGCCCTGCTAGTCTGCTTCCCCACACCAGGGCAGGGGAAGTGCGGTCATAACGGTGGCTATCGACGTCCACGACCTTGAATCATGGCGGCCTTGGCCAGTAAATGTACGCACGGGGGGCTCGCAGAATCCGACTTGACTGCCGGACCGGTTGTCGGTCAATCCTCTTCCAGCGTCGCATTTCGAATTGGATCCGGCTGTTCGATGCATGGCGGCTAACGTAGTGTAGGAGAGCGGGTGCATAGACAAGGTGGCATCGTAATTCAACTAAAGGAACATGTTTACAGCGAGGGATACTCTGCCATGCCATGCCTTCCCCGATCAATCCTCTAAATACAGGTCTCTTTCGTCGACATCATCCTCCCTGTCACTCAGCTCTGCCTCACTCCAGGAGGAATCGGGGGGAGCCTCGGCGTACAGCTGCGTCTTTTCGTCGTACTCGTACCCGTGCGTGTTGATCGCATTTGCTGGAGGTGCGATAGTCAGCTTCACGACGATATCTGACAATTGCGCCACGTCTTCGCTCGGCCAGCCGGTCACGCCGCGGATGTCGAGGTGCGCCAATTTGCGTTCTCTCGATTCCAGCGCGACGGCTAGCCGGCTTGGGAAGTCTTCTCCCGCGTGCGGAGAGATGTCCTCGATGGTGAGGTACTCGAGGCGAGGGAACAAAGGCGCGGGCCGGTCCATGCCTTCCTGCTGCGACGCTGCCCCTTGGATCGACAATGCGTCGAGGAACTCGTGGTCTGCCCGTGCCACCCACAGCCTCGTAACATTGACCAGGTGTCCAAATCGTCGCTTCCAGTGGCCTGCCTTCATCCCGGATGTTGGATCCACTTGCAAATACTTCAGATCGGGCTCCGCGAGCGACCGCACCAGGGCCTCCTTGACGTCCCCGGAGTCGGCCTCGCCATATTCTGACGAATGGGTGCCATTGAATACAGATATCAGCATCCTGGGGCCCTCCGCGGCCCAAGCCACGTAGTCCTGCCATCTGCGCGCATCGACGTCATCGACACCACGTGAGTAATGTGAGTAGTAGTCGGACATGTCCCGGGTCCTGTCGGCGATAGCAAGCTTGACCTGAGAGCTTTCATTGAATACCCCCTGCGCCAGCGTTGTGATGGACTCGACGACGTCCGATAGCGGGACTTCTTCGTCCACTCGACGACCGTTATGGGAGTAGGAATGCTTACATGTGAACGAAGATAGTACCATTTCAATGTTGATGGCGGCCGGGATGTCGAGGTGGACAAATAATGTAGAGCAGTGGAGAAGGGTGTCGACTAGGACCAAGGATTCGAGGCGACGCATAGTCGCCTTTCTCGTAGGACCTCTGAGGACCGGGGTTAACGCAGATCTGGGGCGTTGGAAGCACTCTTTGAGTGTAAGAGACTGAAGCTGAGGCAAGTTCTCTAGAAGCACCACAAGGTCGGAAAATTCAATGTGGTCCCTGTCCATAGAGAGGGACAGCAGCGAGGGGCGCAGAAGCTTGCCATAGCCCCGCCTTGTGATCGCCCAGCGGGATACGGAGAGGTGCTGCAGACTCGGACAGTCGAGCTCCGGGAGCCACGTTGCGAAGACTTTATCAGAGTAGAAGGTCTCGTCTGCCACTGTAAGCGAGACCAGTTGGTGAAGTACTTGCTTGCGGAGCTTGCGAGGACGTGTGCCATCATCATGGGGCGGGTCGAGAATGCGCAGATCCAGCTCGCGGATACGCTGTAGCTTCCGTAGAGCGACCAGAAAGGCTTCCCTCTCCCTCTTCCCTGAGTATGCGTAGGTCTTGACCTCCCCGCAGACAGTGAGTGGCACGCCCTTGGATCTCTTGAGCATCAGCTTGACGTGGCGGGGGTTCGCTAGTCCCACGCGTGCCCAGAGTGCAGGTGTGTCCAGCGCCACCATACGCCAGAGCCAGCAGACATGGGAGACATGGAGGAGGAACATGGGCCTGGAGGAAGCGCAATCTCCCCAGGCGATCGCGATGATCTTCAGCAGTAGCTCTGTCGGGAGTCGCGAGACAGGCATGAGGCTGTTGCGGCTGCGCTTGCGACGCGCCAGCTCTTCCTCACACTCACGTATGAGCTGTTCTCGCTCTTCGAGCTCTGCTTTTGTGGCATGATTCAGCTTCATCTCCATGACACGCATTTCGCTCCTGCCGGGCTATATGAATCAGGAGTCCAGAGAGCACTGGTGGGAAAGCCTACGCGGATATCCAGCGACGCTTGTTCTTTTTCCATGGTAGAGTACTCATCCTAAATAGCGATTGGATCTGGTATAGGTTTAAGTATGAGAGGTGCCAATTGTAGTGGCGCGTATCTTTGGCTATCCAAATAGAGCCAAATAGCTCCACGCAGAATGAACCTGAAGTCAAGACGATGAACGTCCCTGCCTCTGACAGGATTTGATAACGTTCAACTCAGACCATCATGGTTTTCTTCCCCTCCTTTACGCCGCGCGAGATGGTGCATCGGTACGGAGACTTCGGGGGTGTATCAGCAATATCCCACTGATGCACGCTTCTCCCCAGGTCCGAGGAGCTATTCAGCCAGATCAAGCTGGACGATGCGACGATGGCATGTGTTCATGCTCTCGATAATCGTATATCCGAACTCGAGCAGCAGTTAGTTCAAACTAAACGTAGGCGCAACAGTTTTATGCCTGTTGCGCGACTCCCAATGGAGCTGGTCGCAAAAATCATCTCTTTAGCCTGGCACGACTGTGCCTCATACGAGCCAACGTTCTTGGTCGACATGACTCATGTCTGGAGCCACTGGCGAGAAGCAGCGCTGCAGACGCAGTACCTCTGGTCGTTGGTGGGCTTGAAAAACTCTCGACACGTTCGAGCGATGTTGGAGCGATCCAGAGGCGCGCCGCTGAAGGTGTCAGGCAGAGTCAACTCTGAAATTTATCCAGGCCCGACCAAAGCTTTTTATACAGTGCTCAGAAAGCTCCATCGTGTCCAGGAGCTTGACATCCACGTTCTGCTCCGGGACGGAAAACTGTGGAAGCCAACACCGCTGGGGATGAGGCTTCGAAAGTGCCTGTTCCCTGCATTACAGTCCCTGGTCTTATCGAGCGAAAGATGTGACAACATCGAAACTCATATGCGCTGGATTTCGCAAGTCAGTTTGCCCCATCTACAGCACCTGGCTGTGCACTGCTTCAGTCTCTCGTCATATCACAATTTCCTTCTCCCTTCGTTGACATCGTTGTCAATAGAAGAGACCAGAGGGATTGATGTTCCTTTGATGATTGCTATCCTTGAGGATCTGCCGCAGTTGAAGACATTGAAAATAGTGCATTCCATTTTCCTGCCCGTCAACCTTGCACTGACACCGATAATCCACCACAATCAGGACAAGACGAGGATACCTTGCTTACGATCCCTAACTCTCGGACTGACCCTCATGGAGTGTTCTTCCCTTCTCGCCCAGCTAGAGTTCCCCGCCGTCACAGATGTCCAGATCACACTCCATGGGTTCGAGTGTGAACGGTACTGCAGAGATTACATGCCAGAAGTATTCCTTGTTTCCGACCTCCTCGGTCCAATCATCGCGCTGTGCCATACTGCATTGCCTTCCCATCGTCGCAGGAAGCTCACTTTGTCTAAGTCATGGAGGCCGGGTAGGGACAGTCGTGAACAGCTGGTATACAAGCATGACGATTACCTTGTGTGGATGGATACGAGACCCACAACGTCATCTGATGAGGGGAACCCAAGAATGCTGGTGTCGGTGGCCGTTGGACAGCAGCAGCCTTTGAAGGGCACCCTGCAGAACTTACAAGATGCTAGACATGTCTTGCTACAGTCATTGGCCACAGTCAATCTTGAATATCTCCAACTAGAGTCTGGCGATACCGCCGAAGACTGGAATCTAGAATTTGGGCATCTGATACACGTAACCCGGCTCTGGGTGACCGGCGCTGATGACGACTTCCTCGATGCCCTAAACGCAGACTTCAATGACTCTAATACACTCACCGACGAGGTGAGCACCCCAGCTGCCGATATCGCTGAGGATATCTTGTTCCCCTCGCTGCGGTACCTCGTACTCGAAGAAGGGCCCGGTAGCTATGATGGAGACTTTGCAGAGAGATTGTCGATCGCACTGCGATCGAGGCAAAGGACGGGCAGAATCCCGCGTCTATCCCATCTCGACATCCAAGGCGTCGAGGACTGGGCGAGTCAGCACGTGGCGTGCCTGCAGGAGACGGTGGACAAGCTTACCTTACGACCCCCTGCCGACATTTACTACAAACAGGAGGCTGTGGAAGGGTGTGAGGTGAATGAGGAGGTTAAAAGCAGCGAGGAGGTCTGGGAAGACGACCCGTGGTTCGACGAAAATGAAGACGAGTGACTCGCAGTCAAACTTGCATTCCGAGTCTATGCCATACTGTAGTCACTGATCGAAAGTATAGTGTCCTGTTTGAATGAAGTTCGCAGCAGTCTAGCTACCTCTCTGTCCGCCCAAGAAGCAAACGAAGGGGATGCACATTGTTCGAATCCGGGTCTGCGCACCACGGCATACAAAACACGCACATGTATTGCTATCGACAACGACGCTCGCAGGATGCAGCGGGTCAGAGCTTGATACCAGTACTTACTTCAACTGTCCGGCTGCACTCTGACGTCACCCCTGGGCTGATTATCCACCGTGATGCTTGCCGGTATCGACGAACGGGTAACATCGAGTGTGCTTGCCTTGCCATCAACGATGTACCTGGAGCATCCAATGATCCTGAAATTAGCTCAAGGGCAGAGGGTAAGATGCAGGAAGTGTCCGTATGCACAGAAGAACGAACACTATGCGTACCTGATTCACCGCGGCGTGCAAGGCATCCGAACAAGCTTAGGGGACTGGAGTCCGCCCTGGACTCGATACATTGCGTTTGCAAGCACTTCCGGACGTCGAAAGCGAAGAAGTGGAGCGACGAGCGCTCTCCCCATCCAATCTGACTACTAAAGAAAAGGACTCGCAGGAAATCCTACCGTCGGTCGAGAGGCTGCCTAAGCACGAGTCAGAAGTATCCAAATGGGGTTTTCATCGCTGTGCACAAATCGATACATATCACCGGTCATTAGTGACTCCAAAGCGAGGACAAAGTGGAGCAGCTGGCGGCTCAATGTGAATATTGCAGGTAAAGACTGAACTCACCATAGTTACGACGCGTGAGGCTCATCGCAATGTCCCCAGCGACCACTACACGTCTTATCAATGCAAACGATCCAGACCGATGAGAACAAGAGAATACAATTGCAATACAAATGAGAACGCTGTATCACATCGATATTCATCGTACGTACGAGTCCGAAAGGATCGTGGAGGTCGGTATCGAAGATGGAAGATGCCGATACAACGGGGGACTCCGGCTTGTGATTGAGCGAATGATGAGCGAGTTATAGACACTAGTGCAAAGTTTACTTGACACGCCCCTCGGTCTAGGACCTTTGAAGAAACGGGTATGTACGAGAGAGGTTTGCAGCCCAGGAACATCCCGAGTATCCCGACGCGACTTGAAGAACGCGCCTGGCCATGCGTACCGTGAGCAACATCAACTGGAGCTTCGGGAGCCCGCGCTAAGCGACAAGGAAATCTGACGGTGCTGAGTAGCGACATGCAGCGTTCGGGCCATCAGAGAGCGCGTGCACGCGCACTGACAGCGTACACGAGCAGACCTCAGCATTGTTGAACGCTGCTGTATCGGCGCTGCCCTTTGCGATGGACATCTGCGAGGACTAGTGTACATTGAACCCGGAGATTTCAGCCACCCGAGTCGCCGGAGAGGCCATTTCGGATTTGCCTCCGTGCCCACGGCGATCAAACTGCCTCCGCCGCTCCGGGTTCTGGTTCCCCATCCGGGCAGAGTAGGAAACGAGGAATCTCGCAAATCATGAGGACGCACCAAGGCCCAGGGCCGAATCTACTTTCTTGTGTATGTTTACGCGAAAATGAAGCTGCCGGCCCTGCGGGCCAGAGAACTCAAGTTGCGAGATCCATGGCCAGCAACTTCCATCGCCAACGTAAACCGCCCCCGAACGTTCCACTTTTTAATGTGAACATCTCCGTCATACGCTCCCTTTCTTTCGCTACCACTGGTACAGGATGGGTGAGTTTGACACTACGATAGGTGAGCGCAAAACCCGCGTATGATGTCGACGATGATTGACATGGACGAATGGGTGCGGTTGATAGGAATCCTCCTGCTGGGGCTTTTCTGTAAGTTTCATTTTGCTTCCGCGGACGAGCCCGACAGCTGAGACGACTCGGCATAGTCAACACCTACCTGTACGGCCTGGTGTCCTGGCAGTTCCTAATATACCATACGACGCGTGAGTAAACAGCCTCTGAATCACATTCATACACTGATCTGAGTTTGAACGACAGCGTTCAATGACCCTTGGCGGGTCCGGTAAGCAGAGATCATCCTCGTCGTGGCTGTTAACTGACCGTCATCACGCGTAGGCTGGTCGTCGGCGCTCTTTTTATCCTGGACACAATTCACTCTGCCGTGTAAGTTGTCGTTACGGTCCCTGTCGTCCAGTCATTAACCCCTTTGTGCTTTCAGAGCCGTATATAACGGCTGGTACATATGGTTCGTCCGCGGCACTTACTCCGACTTTTCTATAGTGAATATTCCCTCCTCGCAGTGTCACCAACTTTAACAACCCATCTGTCATCCTCACTGTGAGCTGGGAGATCCCGTTCACGGCCGTGGCCACGTCGTGCGCGGCGATCATCACGCAATTCTTCCTGGCGCACCGGTACATTCGCTCCTCATCACTGAGACATACGCTGATTCCTGTGCCTCAGCGTCCTCCGCCTCACCAAAAGCTGGATCATCACCGGTATCATATGCACACTCAGCATCATTGGATTTGTCTTTGGCGTCATCGCCGGCGTCCGATCGGGAATAATCCAACAGTACGTCTTACCCTTGATCCCCCTGTCTGCCACCCTGCTCATGACGGGCGTGACAGAGTGGTGAACTTCGGGGTTCTCGCGCCCCTTGTCATCCTCTGGCTCGGGTTCCAGACTGCGGCCGACCTCTCGATTACACGTACGTCTCGACATCACACATGTAATCCCTTACGTCCCTTCACTCATCATCGTGCCCAAACTCATGCGTTCGCCCACGCCTGATTAATAATCTCCCCCACTCGACAATACAGTTGTGTTATCCGTCGCTTTATACCGCCAGCGCACGGGCATCCGTCGGACAAACACGATCCTTAACCGCCTCATCCGTGGTGCTGTGCAGACGGGCTTCTTCACTTCCATCTTCGCCTTAGGTGACCTCTTCGGATTCCTCTTGCATCGGAACACGAATCTATATGCAATGTTTGCATATCCGATCGGGCGGATATACACGAACGCGAGTGATCTTTGCTAGTTTTCAGTTCCTCATGCTCACTTCGACGCTAGACATTGTTGGATACGCTGAACGCCCGCGTGGCTCTGAAGAGTCTTAACGGCACCCCCGTCGACTTTGACACCGAGGTACGCGTCTCTCCCTACTTCCCACTTCCGCCGCCTTCACTCCCCTTATTCGAAGTTGCGCCTGACCTCGTTCTTGGTTCCTCCAGAGTAACGCCCTTCGCTTCCGCGCCACGGGTACGACCGACACGATCAATAACAACATCCGCCTACAGCAAGTGCACGTGCGACAAGACGTCGTCGCAATGACTGACTCTGGCACGGACCGTACAGCAGATGACAAGGTCATCGCAGGGGACGATCCCGAGGGACTGTATACCCATGGGGGTAAGGCGGTCTGAGTGGCCCAAGACTTCGGTATGCTGGGATTTGGTGTTGTTGACAGCCCGGTTCTTGGGCACGGTGTTCAAGTCGGATGGATTGTACTGTTGCTATCTCGCCACGCGCTATGCGCCAGACGAGATGTCCATACGTGTTAGACGTTAAAATTGAGTGCTAGGCTTATATTGATGTATATATGAAGTCTAAGGAAGTCTCCTTGATGCGTAGACAATGCAGTCCTATTGTGTATGGTGTGCCGACGTCCGTGGTGTATGGTGTATCACTGCGTCTGACCACTGACCAGGGTCGCCAGATCATATGCTCCCTGGAGTTTGATCTCGGTGGAGTTACGTTGTCAGTCTTGAGCGAACCCATTGCCCTGTTAGGTGCAGTCTACGTACTAATGGGAAAGCCTCGTTGTGTGGTGCGTTGACAATGGCCATGGAGGCCACCGGCCCCAATCGTCCTCATATATAGTGATAGAAAAGGCATCAGTGCCAGTGCAAAAGATTAGCGGAAGACTCGCACTTCAGACACACCACATACCTTCATTACAGTATATATTGCGTGAAGAGGTACCGGACTATGGCAATAAGAGAACACACATTACATTGTTACAAGGCCCGATGCCTGATTCCAGTGACATTGGCAGAAGTCAGGAGCATGCACAATCCCAGACAATGCACGGTGTCACAACACGCTCACGTGACCGCGACTGATGAGTTGTGGCAAGCCTGTCGATGTCGCGACGTTTGACCACAACCAATACTCACCACGCACTTGGTACTTCCTGCAGACAGTAGGATCTACAACGCAACTGTTTGAAAAAAGAACACTGCAAAAAGCTATGAAGCACTCAAGCGACGAACACCGGTAGTAGCTGCCTTTTTCTAGTTTGTGTGCGTGTACTAATACTGACCATGTTCACGCAGAGCGGATGCTTTATTCAGAATCATTTCGCTAAATCCAACCACAGTCCAGAAACTTGAGGAGACGGATCGACAGATTGCCAAGTACGAGCAGGAATTGTGCAGGCTCAAGGGTAGACGCAATGGCCTTCTCCCTGTGGCACGGCTCCCTTCGGAATTACTTTCCAAGGTAATCAATATCGCCTGGTCCGACTGCGCTTCCTCTACGCCAGGGTTTCTACTGGGAGTCACGCACATATCTAATCAATGGAGAGAGGTTGTACAACACACTCCGTTGCTCTGGTCACGTATCGGCGCCAAGAATCCATCTCACATGCGAGCAGCTCTGGAGAGGTCCCAACGTTTACCTCTGACAATGATGGGAATACTCCACGTCAATAAACCAAGCGCAGTCGAAGCTTTCAGGGTGGCGCTGGGTCATCTGAATCGCATCCGTTCCTTAGATGTATTCGCCGAGTTCTACACCAACCCCAAGTGGTTTATGAAGTTGAAGGACCAAGACCTTCCTGAACTGAAGTTCCTTACTCTGTCGAAAAAAGACCATCACTACAGAGATGATATATATCTGCCATGGATATCGAAAATAGGAGCTCCACAGCTTCAAGGATTAGATGTCCAGTATTTCGCTTTCAAAAGCTACCAGAAGTTCCTCCTTCCCTCGTTGACGTCTCTGTCTATATCGGGAGGCCGTTTCCCGCCTCTGCAACTGCTCTCTGTCCTCCGCGATCTTCCATATCTACGGCAATTATCCCTTACTGCCGTCCTTCGATACAGCTCGCTTGAAGATGGGCGACTCCTGGACAGTCCGAAAGACATAGTCCACATGGCCCATGTTCAGCATCTGTCCTTACGAGGCACTATTCTTGTCACCTCCATTATCTTGGCAAATCTATCGCTTCCAGTTGTAACAGACGTTGAGATCATTTTGGAGAGTCTAGACTGCACCCTTCACGAACACTTTAAGCAGAAGAACACCCTCCAGCTCTCCCAAGTGTTGGTGCCGATCATGTCACTGTTGTCCACAATCGTGCCTCCCACATCCGTGACAAAGCTCGCTTTCACGCAGGGAAAGAGGGAAGGGCGTCGGAATCAGAGATATTCCTATCAGGATGTCGTTGGATGGGGCATGCGCACTATATCACCAATGGATGAGCAATCATCCCGATTTCTCCTGTCCGTACTCGACTCCCAATACGCCTTACACCCCTCAAGGGATGCGGAAGAAATGTTAGGAGTCGTACTGCCCACTTTAGCAGCAGTAGACTTGGAGTATCTTCAAGTTGGAGCTCACATAACCTCGGCAAAATGGAAGGAATGGTTTGGACAATGCAACCATGTGACTAGACTTTCGGTTACTGGCCCTGACGATCAGTTTCTCGATGCCCTACACCCTGAGAAAGCTGGCATTGACGGCTCGGACGATATGCCAAAGGTTGAGGGGAACAACGTCGGGGAGGGCACCATGCTCTTTCCTCGCTTAAAATGCCTTAGGCTAGAAGAGGACTCTTGCGAATTGTACACAAGGGAGCTACTAGACAAACTCGTGTCCGCTCTACGGTCGCGAAAGTCTGAGGGTTGCGGCCTGGCCAATCTTGACGTTCGTGGTGTACGAGAATGGTCGGAGGACCTCAGGGCGTCATTAAAGAGGACTGCAGAGATGGTGACTTTGCGACCACCGGCGGAGGTCCACGCTGAGAAGGACATCGGAGAGTTCGAGGCAGAGAAGCCTAATGGTGCGGACAGGGGGTGTCAGAAACATGACAAGGAGGATGTAGTTGGAGACGAATCATCAGACGAAGAAGATGATGACGACGACAGGCATTCTTATTGGTAACCTCCTACCTATGCTTTGTACTGCGTGTATAGCTCCACGTTCCGAATAAACACGACTGCCGTCGCCAGTGAGGATACAACTTGATGAAGCATAGCCAGCACTAACCCGGTGAGACAGGGTACAAGTGGGTGAATTCTGTGCGATATGCAAGGAGACCACGTGAGAAGGAAGAAGAGTCTGTTACCTTGGCTGTCGAGAGTCGATATTTAGATGTAAGATACCCTCCCGTGCAATGAGAATCCGAGCATCCGTGCCGAGGTGCGGGGGCGTTGTAGGACTACGAAAGGCACCGAATGGCTTTAACTTAGACTCAGAGCATCGCTCAGGGTCGTTCCACCCGGTGAGGCCTTAGGGATGGAACAGCCCGACCTGAGCGTTGCGCCTCAAGGAGAGCGGCAGGAGCGTACATCCTCATTCGGAGCTGAGGTAACTCAATTAACTCTGTTTAAGTATCTTGATACTCACCTTCGGCACATCTCGAGGCGTCTGCCTCTCAGAAGCCTCTCACAACCATATCTTTCCTCATATTCTCGTCCAGTCCATTATTTCAACGATAGAAGCACGTTCTATGGAGGCACCCGTGTCCACGCTCTGTGGCGGGTGCTGATCGGATGTTCTTCCTACAGCCTGAGTTATCAGGCTGTCGCATCTTCCCCACTCTTGCCATGCGGGTCCTGGTCAGTCCGATAGTGGCTAAGTCAAGTCGAAGGCAAAAACCTTGACGAGAGGACCGTATCCACCTCCACTTAAATGAAATTTACTATTCTTCAAGGCACGCAATTTCGCTGCGCTTGCGCATTCCCATAAGATCAACTTGCTAGCACGGGCGGAAACGGGGTCAAAGGACGCCGCTGATTACTGCGCGGGCCCCATGTTAGTACATCACACAGCCTGCGTGTATCTGCGGAAGCTCCGCAGGCACAGATGCAGGTTATGTCATACCACACTTAGGGGCTGGTCAGAAGAATGTCGATTTCGTCAACGTACTGTTGGCCGTATACCTCTGATCCAATGCAAATGGCTTGTTTCCGGTCGAAAGTGATGATTTCGAAGTCGGCGGAGGGCTTGCAAGCCGTTGATGTCACTGAGCGGACAACTTAGGTATCTCTACACCAGCGACTGCTCGTCCATGATCTCACAATAAGGGGTGAGTTTCTGGGCAGCAGCGAGTCGCGCCTCACTGGACGTGCCCAAGGACCCGCGCACCTCATCGAGCGGAGGTCAAGGTTCGAATACCAACCGTGAGTAACGCAGGGATTACTGAGACTGCAGTTCCGAGAGTCAGTCGATGATGGAATTTCGTACAGCGATGCAGGCCGGACATAGCATCGTTATAACGAGGCAGACAGGTTAGCAAATAGGATCAGCGTCGACGACATGTATACAAGACTCAGGAGGGGCCAGTACCGGATTGAGCATGGGCAGCCCAGCGCACAAGCTTGGGTTGATTTCAAAGGGAATGGGACAATTTTTGCGCATGCTCGCACGGGGACCTGCGATAGACGGGCTACATCCAACTAGTAGGGCGTCTAGCCTGTTCCAGCGGTCCTATACCGATCCGGTATTGACGATATAACCGCGATAATGATGACCATTATCTAGCCGAAGATCCAAGTCATCCAGACGTCTTGCCTGTCGAGAAGCAGCCCGCGATATCTCGACCGAAGTGGCGAAGAGCCAGCATTGACTGGAACGGGTCGTACTTCACAACAGAGCAAGTGGCACGTCGACAGCAAGGCTCCCGGGATCTCTTTTGCTACAATGGCTTGGATAAGGGGTCTCCCCTTGATGGCACCGTTTCCCACAGCACCTTTGTTCGCTGTGGAAACATCAAGCTCTGACTCAGCCAGCCAGGAAAATGGCAACCCCATGCCTGGAGAGCAGGAAGCTGAATACCGCCACCGCTGAGAATGCCGGTCTTCGGCGCCAGAACGGGCGGCAGATCGGAAGAGTAGAGGAGGGCTTTGAGAGAGATGAAGAGTTGCAAGGCCGGAGCACCGGAACCGCGCGACTTACCTGCATGGTCTACGGAGCGGTCCTTCTCCTTTGATGGCATTCTTTTATGCCTGCTCCCCCGCAGTAGAAGGTGCTCAACAGGATGCTCGACAGGATTCGAAGGGCGATCAAGCTCGTAGTTTTCGGGTGTGCATCTAAGGCGTCTTGCTGCAGACGAAGGCCGATTTTACGAAGGCGAAGTCTATCAAGAAGCCTCAAGTACACCGCCAGGTGAAGCACAAATTTTTAACCAAGGGATGATCTACAGTCGCCACATTTCGTGGAAAGGGCTCTCTGGCTTGACACACCCGCGACGTCGTTTGTGGAAGTAGAGGGACAGGCAAGTGCTTGGCACAAGGCTTCCACAACCGATATCAATTAGGTACGATGCGGTATGCGGAAGCGTGCAGTGGATTGCCGAGACGGGGGCGCAATTGTGGAAAGAAGCAAGCCGCTGATGTTGATACCTAGAACGTTTTCGACATGTCCATCGCATTGGGCATCAAAGCAGTGCGATGGCGGTCAATACAGGCCGCTAGCTGAGCGAGGCATGGGCAAAGGAGAGAGCTTCGACGACGTGTCGATAGTGGTGGACGTGCAGGTTGAGATGAAGGACAACTTCCGGCGAAAGGCGGAGTGCCTCGGGGAAAGCCGGCAATACGAAATTTCGGCGCTTCCTCTCGAACTCACCGCGAAGGCTGTTGAGGGATCGCTCGAGCTTCCCAGAAAACAATCGGCATCGGGACCCTCTCGCCGACTTCAGTGCTGACTAGCATCGGCCTAAGTCGAAGACGTCGACTATCGCCGAGTCGCGGTCCTCCCAGATGGCAGCATCGCAGTTCTTGCTCTCCTCTCAGAGCGAGTCTAGTCGGTCTTGTAGTCTGCGGCAAGACAACAGCGTCATCATTAGAGTCCATTACGGGGCACATCCATCCGGTCGCATAGGTAGACTCTTTCGCCTGTGAAATCCGTGCTTCGTAAGTGGATAGTGATGATGGTTCGGTCGTTTACAACGGGGCGCGAAATCGGGATGCAGCATGAGCTCGTATACCCTCGACGACCTAATTCGTGGATGGTACACGAGCTAGACTCATTCTTATTTCCTCCTTCGTTTATAAGTCAGGCATATTGTACGCCTGCTCGATGCCTCATGGCTGGATCTGTGTCAGCGCGTGCAAGACGCTGGTGTGTTTTGTGACAGCATCCGAAGGGCTGATAGGCTTAACATTTGTAGGCTTCGCAGCGGCATCCAACGGTTTGGGGGTCTTTGCAGCGGGAATTCAACGGGTTCACAGGCGTTGCAGCAAAATCAAGAGGGTCGACGGGCTTTACCCCTGCGTCCAAGGGCTCAACAAGCTCGCAGGAGTTTTCAGAGCGTTTCAGCTGCCACGAGTAGCGGCGTCTCCATATCCGCTTGGCTCCAGAAAGGCAGGGCACACTACGTCCGGATCCCCGCCCGTGTATCCTGCCTCATACCACCAGCGCGGCACACCACCCACGCGAAGACGTTCTCGAAGAGACCTGCACAGCCCATTCGGCCGCGCTTGTGCACGTCTGTCCTCAGCTTTGCCCGGCTGTGCCTTGGACTGGCGCAACACAGTCTTGCATTCTGGAACGGCACTTCTGACTTGATCTTTGGCAGGGGAACGAGGGCGAGATCCGATGACGGTGGCAGAGGGAGATCCAGACTGTAGAGGGCTCGGCGGTGGGGAAGGATTACTCTCGGCTTGAGCTTCGAGCTCATCTTTCCCCATCTCTGCGCCCCGTCTACTTCCATGAAGTAGTACTGGATGTCTCCTACGGCATTTCAATCGCTCTTCGCGCGGATACAGCTCCCAAGGTCGCAGGCTGGCAAGCCTGCATGGTCGTCTCCTTAGGCGTAAGGACTGGAACGACCTTCGTGGAGCCTGGTCTCGGTGCGGCTACCGACGAATATCTTCCTTGCCGGCCTCACGGCTGCAAGGGCTGAACGATCTAGTTGCAGCTGTGCGGGGCGTGTGCGTTGGACTCGGAGGGGTCCTACGACGCTGGGTGCCGATTGTCGACTGTGCCATGGTACAGGAGACGGTGGGTGCGCGCGAGACGGATAAGCGAGGTCTTACCTGCGCGAGGTCGTCCTCCGAGATTTCATCTTGTAGTATTCGTCCTATGTCCTCTTGGCCTCGCACATAGCGGGTATATCTAGTGCCGCTCTCTACCCGTGGTGGGAAGCTGGCTGGGAGTCTCAGCTGGTCTAACCTAGGTCGAATCAGCCTCTCCTGGACTGAAATAAACGGTTGATACTTACCGAAGCGTCGCTCGAACCGAGCGTAGGCATGGCGCCGAAGTGGCATGCAGGAGTCCCCACGTGTGGCTGGAGTCATAGGTCTTCCTAGTGTCTGTTTCGTAGACGCTCTCCATGTTTTTGTAAGTTGCCGGTTCGATTTCGTATATAGAGTGTATCCAAATGATCCTTCCCATAGAGTGTAGCAATACATCAAGCGAGGGAATGGTCACGTCCGTTCAAGCGACTTCAGTGGCAAATTACGCGAGTCCCGTGATGTGACACCAAGCGTATAAAATGTGGCCACAGCGGACTTTCAACTTGTTTTCCACCATCGCGTCGTCGTCCCTGCCACATCTGCCATCCTACCCATAGTTCGTCAAAAGCATGGACAACTCCTATCTCATCGGCATACCGCCCTACATGATGGACCCCCTCAACGAATGCAGCCCTACCGCCTCCTTTGACCTACCACAACTCTTCTCCGCCCTACCTAGGGGAGAGAGCATCACCCATGACCTGCCATCATTTATGGACTACGGATATGTTGGCGACAATGGCGAGGGCCAAGCCACCGCACCGGGGCGCGGTGTTGAGAATCACGAATCATCGAAGACGGGCCATTCCAAGGGGATTGCCACCGCCCCTCAGCAAGTGCAATGGCCGCAAAGCAGCGCTCCCACCAGAGGTACGAAGAGGAGCCTCCAAACCATGTGGAAAGAGGACGAAGACATCGACCTGGTGTATCCGTCACAGGGTGCGCTCAGCCTCCTCGCATCTCCTTTGAGGAGTCTATACTGACACGTCCTGCAGATGTAGCAGAGGCCGCCGTGAGCCTCGTACAAATGTGCACGGCATCCGCTGCAGCATCCGCCACCCTGCGTCCCGGAGAGAAAATGTCCCTCTCGTTCATTCTCAACTGATTCATTTTATTCTTCCTTCTGATCCTGTAGAATTTACTCCGTAGTGTACTATGACCATGTAAGCTGTAATTGTGTCGAGATCTGCTTTCTGAATATCCCGTGGTCAATGTATGTCCTTTGTGGCGTTACCGCGACGGAACTGCAAGGCAAGCGCGAAGGATAGCATGGGTGCACGAAAGCAGCACGCATGAAAGCAACATAAACATGCTAGGCGTCCTCCCCGCGTTTCTGGAGGATTCCAATCGCGCCTGATCAAGCGCGATACTCGATCATGTGATGAGCGCGTTGAAGTCGATACTCGCGTGTGACAGTAACACCCTGGCCTCCTACCGTTCACCCACCATGTCCTCTATCACGCCCTCAGGCTCTGCTGGCATCCGCGCGCTACTAGGGCACGTCCCGTTGGCCGATATCATCGGCAATGACACGCTCAGCATCATACGAGCTGAGTGCTTGGAATCCAATTGCGAGCAATGGCTTGCAAGCCTCTTGCACCTTCCGCATTCCAACTTTGCGAATTTGCTCCTGGATGACGACGCCAGACTCGCGCGGTACATCATGGCGGCGACCGCTCTGCCCCAGTTCCAAGCGTACACCCCATCCGTTCTGGCGATGGGGTCGCTGATGCTGGCGAGATTTCTCCTCGGGGAGGGCCGGACGCCCTTCGGCGTGACCGAACAGGCCGTAGAGGTGATGGTCGTTCTCGACCGTCATTTCCGGCAGATGCCATCCTGGTGTCCAAGAGCTGGGATCCTGGACAAGTTCGATCTGAAATACCTCTGGGTCGATATGTATGTCTTCTACACGCGCGACCGGGACGCGCTCCCTGAAGTCCCATTGTCGTTGGAGGAATACAAGCTTCTCCCGCTGAAGGGAAAGCTCGGGACAGCAAAAATGCAGGGCCATCTTCGTCTCAAGGATTGGGAGTCAGTTGACGACAGTAAGTACCCAGCAAAAAAAGTGCTCTGGATATCGCTGACGACGATATTTTGCAGTGATAAAAGAAGAGTCCGAGGTGTTGACTGAAGCGCCCTCCTGCTAGGCGGTGTGCTTATGATCCAAGCGGAGTCAGATGTGTTCATTCCATGGACGCAATGGCTTACCACAAGAAACCGTCCGTGGGGAGTGTATGTCCAAGCTCAGTGGCGGTCACCAAGCTCCACCTCGTCGTTGCATTGTTGTCCATAGTGCTTTTCGCTATTCCTGCTCAGTCTGTTTAGAGTCTCTCATCACGCTTTCCTTTCCTTCTCGTACATATATTGAACGTTTTTTTATTAGCTTTGAACTGCTTTTGTCGTAGGACTACCGTACCATGGCGCATTTTCACGCTCCCTGTAATAGCTTCAGAATATCGCGTAGAAATGTACGTTGCCGTGAATCGATTGTACCGAATGTATATAGCTTCTGAAGTGTTCATAGAGATCAACAGATTTCCCGAGCTTGAAATTCGGTAGGTCGCTTACATGAAGAACAACCCGGTGTATCCAGCATCGAACAACGGCGAAGACCATGGTGATCCCACGGACTTGAAAGAGGCGAAAGGTATTTCTTACTTGGATCCTCCTGGCCGTGCTGCCCAATTGCTCTCCCGAGAGAAAGGGCTGCTCAGCCTGAAAATGACAGATCTTCGTTAAACCTCCGATTAATACTTCTCAGAGTTTACAAGTAGACCAGCTCCTTTTTTCAGACAAAGAAACGTGACAGACTTTCCTTCACCCACGAGAAAATGCGTGCATACCGACATGACAAACAGCCTATGACAAAAGCCGATTTTAGTCATCGTCAGATTCAAAATCGCGACGGAAGATCTCGCATGCGAGGTGGCTGTACGTCCCGGGGGCTTCTGGTTTCGGCCGATGTGTACGGTCTGAGGCTGTCATTTCTTGACAAACGAGTTGCTCGTCGCCAATATTTTAAAGGCGAGGTAGCGCGTAGTTCCGCCCGACGTTACGCTGACTTTCTCTCAGAAGTGCTACAAACCAGAGAAGAAGCCGCGTGTGACGCCACGGCCCCACCGGCATCGAATCACGGTCCTTGGATGCCGTCTTACGGGTCAACTCCTCCTCGCTCGGTGATGCATGACTTCATATTATTTGCTATGCATCGCAGATATAAGGCGCCGATGGCTGCTCGTCCGACCTGAGCGCTCGACTCCTGCGACCTCTTTGCACCCCGAAATTCCGAACCACACGCTTCGCTTTTCCGCATATCAATTCTCCCCTCTTCGATCGCTCTTCGAACGAGAATTGATCGAGGCGTTTCGTGTTTATAATCGCGATGGCTGACACCGACCGTCGTGCTCTTCACCCCCACTTCAACCCGGACCAAGCCAACAGCAGGGTCAGCGGAGACACGATGCTCAATGATCATGGCAGCTCGATGAACGAAAAGTCCGTCGACTCTAGCAACGACAAGATGAACGGGAAGACGCGCACAGACGCGGAGGTGCAGCCCGTGCCTATGGGACGGGTACGCACGAATGAGTTTGACGTGTACGGAGATGAGGAGACTGCACAAAGTGAGTGTTATAATGGAAGGAAGGATGCTGAGGATCGAGTGCCGCGTAACCCAGGATTACTGCAATCAGTGCTCTTGGGATTCTCCATTCGTTCCTCCTACCCTTCCCTCCCGAGCCTCGCGGTTGTGAGGAGCGTACTAATCATGGTTGGCGTGGTTCACAGTCAAGTATCGCACGATGCACTGGTGGAAAGCCGCTGCCTTGATGTTAGCAGAAACCGTTTCCCTGGGTGTACGTCCTTTCGCCCCTCTATCTCCCGTGTAAGCCACTCACGCGCAGTTTTAGATTCTCTCTATACCCTCAGTTTTCAACTCCCTAGGCATGGTTGCAGGGTGTATACTCGTAATCGTACGCAGCCCCCGCCGCCATCTCCGTTCGATTTCAGCTAACCCGAAATCCAGTCCCTCGGCACTATCGCGACAGCGACCGGATACACCATGGGCCAGTTTAAGCTGCGCTACCCGCACGTGCACAACATGGCCGATGCGGGCATGGTCCTCGGTGGACCCGTTTGGCGCGAGATCCTTGGTACAGCCCAGGTCGTCTTCCTAGTCTTCATCTGTGGAAGCCACGTGTTAACAGGGCTCATCGCCTTCGACACCAGTGCGTACAGGCCGTAGTGGTCCTGAGGCTATCACAATACATAACACGCTAATCTTCACTCAGTTACCTCGGGCGCGTCATGCTCAGTCGTCTGGGCAGTAGTGACTGCGATCCTCGGTTTCGTGTTGACGATCCCGAGGACGTTGGATGGCATAAGCTACCTGAGCGTAGCGAGTTTCATCAGTATAATGTGTAGGTGGATCCCCTTCTCTTCGACTGGGGGCGATGCTCATCGTATCTTCCCCCTAGCCGCGGTGCTTATTACAATGATTGGCGTGGGCCTCATCGGTCATCAGGGTGGTGTTGGCGTTACCAGCCACTTGAACTTCGCCCACGGATTCCTAGCCGTGACCGATATCGTGAGTTGACCACCATTTTTTCCAATCTTCAGTAACCTAACAGACAGTTCACGCGCTAGATATTTGCGTATGCGGGTCACGTCGCCTTCCTCACCTTCATCTCCGAGATGAAAGACCCTCGAGTACGCTTGCCTTCCGTGGCATCCCTTTCTTCCTATTTTAACCCAGGCTGCTCCAGGACTTCCCAAAGGCCCTCTACGCTCTGCAGATCGCCGACACGACGCTCTACCTCATCGTCGGCATCGTCGTCTACGCGTTCACGGGCGCTAACACCGTCTCTCCCGCGCTGGGCAACACCGGGAGGACGCTCCGCAAGGTCGCCTACGGGATCGCGCTGCCGACGATCATCATCGCGGGCGTCATCAACGGGCACGTCTGCGCGAAGCTCGTGCGTACCGCTCCCAATGCCATGATGTAGGGCGGTACTGACGGGATGCGTGCAGGCTTTTGTGAGAGTGTTCAGGATGAACGACGGGAGTGTCTCGCCGCACATGAGTAGCCATACGAGGACCGGCTGGCTCAGTTGGATCGGGATATGCTTCGCTATCTGGGCGCTCGCCTTCATTATCGCGGAAGTGTGCGTACACACCTTGCCGCTGTCAATTGCAGTTGCTGGATACTGACGCTCGGCACCTCCACAGGATCCCCTTCTTCAACGACCTCCTCGGTGTCATCAGTTCGTTGTTCGCGAGGTACGTTCTCCCCCCACATCACCCTCGGTGCCCATGAACCTCAATATCCGCGTGTATAGTTGGTTCACCTACGGCATCTCCGGCATTTTCTGGTTCCACTTGAACCCGCCCGGCACGCGATGGACCACGACCGGCCGGAAGCTCCAGACCATCTTCTGGGGCTGCATCGTTCTGGTACGCATCTCGTGTCTGTCTCGTTCAACTGCGCTCACTGACCTCGTCAATGGCAGGCTGGAGCGTTCATCATGGTCGCCGGGCTGTACTCCAGCATATACAGCATCGTCGAGGGGTACCGCGACGGTTCCTTCCCGAGCCCGTTCAGCTGCGTTAACCGCGCCCTGACATGATAACGAATGGAAGGATAGGAGGATGGATTGGATAGTGATGCGGAACCTAATGCTAAAACGAATACATATGTACAAGTGCTTCCTCTGTATAGAATATACCTCCCTGTAATGACCTGCAACCTCTAATTTATTCGTACAATCCTGGGAATTATGGGGCACGCTCAGACAGCTCGGGGACGCTATATACAACGAGACGCTTTGAATGGGACAAGGACGGCCACGACTTGCAGGTTTGTGTCGTCTGGGCGATGAACAGCGTATGCATGGCCCGAATGGCAAGGGGGGGCAATACTCCGAAGCTTTCGGACGTCCGAGCACCGCATCGCAGGAGAGTTCAGTGGGAAGCAGGATCTGTAACCATCGGAATTGGAGAGACACGTGTAGCCGCGGATGGAATGGGGGGATGGAATGGGGAGTCGAGTAGGATTTCAAAGGCGCAGATATGGCGACGTGTAATAATGAGTGCCCATTCGCTATCCGGAATCGGGCAAGGTTGAGAGACCATTCCATTGGTATCCGCATGGTCGTGTCTTTCCAGCACCTAGAGGCTTTGAAGTCCATCCCATAATAGGTGGTCTCGGTGGCAATGTTCCAATTTCTGTTGCGGTTGGAGGCTGGGGATTGTGCGGACAGGTGTATGTCAACGAGAGGAAGCGGATGTAGTGGGAGTGGGAGTGGGTACAAGAGAAAGGCGTCTGGGACTCCAAAGATCACTGGACGTCCCATGTCTGGTGGATAGGGATATGAGTAGACTCTGAGGAAAGATAGTTCGGTGCGCTTCAAATGTTAAGACAAGGGATGGAAAGCCAAGTGACGGCCGTGGCACCGATCTTTCGTATCCGTGCATGGCCGCCTTGAGATCGACAAGTAGCGAAGCCACAGAACTAGAGCCTCCTTGTTCAGTAGGAAGGGGATTTCTCCTCCCTCGGGATCTTGTCACGAGCTTGCGAGCGAGGCCGAGCGTGGCGGTGAGAGTACCCACTGCTGATGAAGTCGCAGAAGAAGATGATCTCCGTGAAATTCTCTTCGACGAAGAGGACCTCTGGGATCTTGAAGTCCTCTTGTATAAACCAACCGTTCAATTTATCCAGGGTACGGTTGGCAGCCTCCATAGCGCCAGGGCAAAGCTGGATCTCCTGGCCTAGAATGAGGCACGCTAGCAGCAGTACACCCTGTCCCATGTCCGAGGGGGCAATATAAATCGCCTCTTCGTGGAAGTACGCGAGAAACCCAATAAATTCGGCTAGCCTTCTGATCCTATCGCTGCCTATCTTATGCGCGGCCATAAGAGCAGAGACCCATTCGGGTATGGTGATATATCTAATTTGAAAGTCCAGGGTCGTTAGGATGTCTAATTCCATGTCGTGGAAGTCCCGTCGGGTATATCCCAGCTCCTTCCTGGTGTTGAGACAGGGATACAGAGTCATGATATCGGAGAGGGTAAGAGCCTCCCCTGGTATTTTCTCCATCTTCGATGCGATCCACAAAGAAGTGCACGCAGTCAGCAGAACTTGGCACGGTTCGAACTCCTTACTCCCTCTGAGACATTTCTTGGTAAGGTACCGAACGGCAAGCATGAACGCGAGATGGATGGTTTCGCTGCGTATAAAACGTTTGGGAGGTGGTTGGAACGCCACGAGTCCGAAGGACACGAGCTTGAAGGCCAGCAGCAAAGCTCCAAGCAGAAAGCGGCGGCAGATACATAATTTTCGACGCGTGTCATGGTCAAGGGAGGTATCGTCCACAGGCGCAGTTGTTGTCTGGGAATACAGTCCGTTTCAATCGAATAGGACATTGAAACAATTGAGGGTTCACCTCAATCTGCCGGAAAGTCGCCGGTTCATAGCGATCGACATCATCCAAAAGATCGTCCTTATTGTTTGTGGGGCTTCGGGCAGGGCAAAAGGTCGATATACAATTGCAATGCAAATGTGGCGGTGGTGTATCCTTCAGGCGGCGACTTTTCGAAACTCGATAGTCCTGTGATTCGGATGGGTTCTTTCGTTTCGAAGACATTTTGGCGGGTTATAGAACAGTAGAACTGTGAAGAGAGAGAGAGGAGAGAGTTTATGGATCAGCGCGTGGTGGGCGGAAAGCGGTGAGTAGGCCACACGCGTGTCGTCACACTTGGTCACGGCAGTCTTCTAAGTGGCGCAGTGCTAAATTCGCGTTCCCATATGGTTACGCCTGGTGCTTGAACGCACACTTGCATGGGACGTGGCGTGTTCCACCTCGGGGGATAAGTCAGTTGCAGAACTATTTGCAGTGGAAAGTCTTAAGGCCTGCCGTGGTCAGAGAACCCTGCAGCAGTGCGGAAACACTCGTGCCGAACGAGAGCCTTGAATTACTGTCATTCCAGAATACATTTAATCTAGGATGATAAACGTGATAAAACAATTATCCCCTCCCTGACGGTCGAAACAACAGGAGACGAGGAAAACGTCAACATATAAAAAGGTACTGACACCGCAAGAGATTAGTCGCATTACGAATATTATTAGATGATTGGCGGCGAAGGTATCAACGGATAAAATTCTGAGTCAACCAAGGTTCGTCTAGTCAACTTGGAACGGCTAGGGAACTCACAATACGAGGCACTCGCGAAAGAATAGAACTTTATTGCTTAAAGAGAGCCCTTGTGTTCCCTAAGCCGCACCAGTTCTTGACCGGAACGTTTTCCTGAAGGAGCGCGTAACGGGACGAACTCAGGATACTTCATGGAGCGAAAATGCCGCCTCTGTCATCGGCAGAATGAAATAAGAGGTCATAGAGTACGCATGCGCCAGACAATGAATTCCAATCATGCTCAGATGTTCGTGTTCTGCAGGGTTGGAGGAAAAGCCAGTCCAGTGAGGTCAACGTCTTTCATTCTCGCGACGGACGTAGCAACCAGCGGCGCCGAAAGACAGTCTAAGCAGTGTATAATCATGCACTGCGTCTTTACAAGTCTGAATCTCGTTGCACCAGACTGACAGACGTCGAGGATGAAGTTTTGAAGAGTTACCAACGCTCAGCGTTGCCAAGCAATGGCGTTGAGGAAAGGTGAAAGAGCGGGTCTTTCCGCATCCTTGTTTGACTCATCCGATTTGTCCCGCTCCTCCTTCGACGTCGACCAAGCGGACACACGTTAACAACTGAGAGCACCATCACGACGTAGCTTTCATCCCGAGCACAGCTAAGTTTGAGTCGCATACGATCCACAGGCTGTTCTCTCCTGTCCCTTTGCCTCGAGCCGTGATATACCGTGGGATGGAATCCTGTCGATAACCTCTGAGAAAGATGCGATATGCTCGAATTGCACATAGGAATATTATGCTTTATGACTGATCAACGTACACGCCCACCCTGTGATTGTTACGCATATTCTGAACACTTCACGAGCCTAACGGCCCGTCTGGATTCGGCGCAGTGATACCAACGGCCATATTTCAATTTGCTCTCACCCAATCTTGAGGTGCGTTCTTCACATAGTGAAGCATATTCGCGCGTTCCTGACGAACACACGAGACAGCGGGGTGGGATGCATATCAATGGCTTGACGCGACACGAATGATCTTCACTGCGCGGAGTCGCATCATTCATAGGAGTGCCGAATAGGGACAAGATTGTACGTTATTTACTTCTCCTTGTACAGAGTTCAGGGAGAGCACATCCGCCTAAGCGGTTAAGAGTGATCCCTCAATGGTTTGGTTGTGTTCCCCGACCCGGGGGACTCTCGTTGTCGAGATCCTGGTGCGTCCGTCACGCCAGAATTGAAGCCGGTACAGGAAGATGGACCAGTAAAGCGCATGGAGTAATGCTGTCTGGAATAGAGGGTTGGTTTGGACGAGCCCTCCTGGTTCTCTTACGGTGTGTTGCATTCTGACAGTCAGTCGAATAGGCCGTCACATTGCGCAGGCTCGTTCGGCTGCGCGCTTCAGGTCAAGTTAATGCCTAAGCGCAGCGACAAGACCGCATAGAAAACATACATGAAGGCCAAGGTGGCATGCGCCATGCTAGGGATCGATCATGCAGCTCCCCATTCGGTAATGTCAAGTGCTGCGCGCCCTTGATCTTTCCTGGCTCACAGTTTCATGTCGTCGTCGTGCAATGAGTAACTACAGGGTGGTCTGAGTGGTCGGCTAATCTGGAAGACGTATGATAAGTTGATACATGTTCATCTCGAGCTTCTGACCAATCACACGGTCGCGTGTGAAATGCCCCGTGAGTATGTTCTTTCGACGTACCACTAGTGGCAGACCGTTCAAAAAAACATTGATCAATACGAAACCTCTGACTGTATTTGTAGGTCCAGCCGTTATCTCGGCATCTGCTATCTAACAGGAATTGTCCCTTCGCGGTCATGTGATGGGCGCGTAGGTGATAAAGTCGGGATCCCACGCTTTTGTCTCTCTTCCATTGCCACACTTCTCCGCCACACTGTCAAGATGAACTCCATCGCAGACTTGCTCAAGCAGCTCCAATTGGACTCTCTCGATATACCAGCGCAATGCGCCGATGCAGTCCCCAAACAAGACACACCCGAGGAGTGGCTTCGTTTCTACTGTCAATGGGAGCGCGACCGCAATCACGATGACTTCGTCCGCAAAGCGGCGTCGGTCTTCATCAGCGTCACTCGGACAATGCCACAACTCCTATATACCCCCTCCGCTCTCGCAATGGGTGCTTGGATGCTCAGCCGATTCCTCTGTGCGGAGGGCCGCACACGGTTAGCTGAAGACCAGCATGCATTCGAGGTCATGACGGTGCTAGACCGTCACCTCCGCAATAATCACGAAGACTTATACCACGATCCACCGGAAATTGAGGAGGAACTCCGTCCCGTGTTGGATGATATATGCTTGCTCTATGACGCCAGCCGGGACTATGTGCCCCCCATTCCTCTCACTCTGAAGATGTATAACGAGGACGTTCCACTGGCAGAAGAGTTGAATAAGTATAAGTCTGATGCTCGTCGTCCTGGAATTACCCTCCGCTCTTTCCCGAATTTCCTCGATTTCGCAGTCGGCATCGAACACAACCCAGATTGTAGGTTTCCCAAGGTTTCTGCTTTCTATCGCTCACTTAACTATCCATAGGGGTAGACGCATACCCGTATCTGTGAAAGAACCGTCATCCCGCTTGAGGTGTATAATCCGCGTGTCCACAACAGCGCCTACTCACAGGGAACTGTATTCCATCCAACACTAGTCTACGATCCTTTACGTCTCTTCTTCATTCTCCCGCGGTGACCCGTGCTAGATCTTTAACTGTATCGCCGTATCTTGTATATCTTCTGCATCTGTGATGCATGCTATCGTTGTAGGCTTCCATCACTTGTATCATACTGCTGGTACTAATGTGTTTATATTCTCTGAGTACGCATGACGCTCCCTTATTCTGCTAGTTCTGTGGGCTGTTGGTCGCAGGTATATCCAGTGGATCTCGCCTCATCACAGCCGTTTGCAGATTGATGGGCCCACTTTTCAAAAATCATTTACAGTCGGACCACGTCGGACAAGCAATTTTAAGTCCCTGAGAGACGGAAATCAGACCATCAGGACTTCCCTACCTTCTTCCGACGTCCCTGGGACGCACTCCGACGCACTCCGACTATACGCGATTTTCTGGATTGGTGGTCCATCGATCTGCAAACGGCTGCAATGCTCTGGACGCCATCAAGCTGAGAAGGTACCATCATTCCATCACTGTGTAACATTTATCTCGGTAACCGAATCTTGTCTCGCGTCGTAAATTACCCACGAGATATTCGTCCTTTATGTCGGTGTCCTCATTATACGGGCTCTATGATTGATCGAATGCAGGTAGTTTTCTGAGCATCCAGTGTCCCTCGAAGGACTCTTCTATGCATCCGAGGATACGCTTGCCAATTCCTGCAGTAATGCTCTTCGAAATTCAACAGCTACAGCACTGTCCTGACAATCGGGCTGGTATGACTTTATTAGTATTACTGTATAGTGACCCTGCGAAGTAGCTGCTACGCAAATAGTAACTACGCTATCCCCGTGAATAAATATCGATGCTACTTAGGCTTCGTAAATGAGTCTGTGTACATCCTCTAAACATCTCTTCTGACATATCCCGACCCCTCAAGCGCGCCTACCAAACACGCTCACCCTCGGGTTCCACCGAGCATGCAGGGGCTCCATCACGACCCTGTTCGACAAGACGAATAGGAGGGTATAGACGAAGATGATGAATATGGAAGCCCAACCAATCCATGCGAACGCAACAAGTGCGGTGAGGACACGGCATGGTCTGTAGACCCAGCACCATGATAGATTTCCCCAGTACGTCTGTAGATCATCGAGGACTATACTTAGCAAATGAGCAGTTAATAGACAACTTGCCACGTACCGTGGCGATCGCAGCTCCGACAAGCCACAAAACGAACAGAATCAATAGCCCAATCAGTTCCCCACGGAAGCGGGAAATCAGGCGGCGCTCGTATACACCCGAAATGACGTGGATGCTATGAAAATAGTAAGCGCCATGTCAAGGATAAAGGAGGAGGAGCACTGACATGTAGGCAGACCAGAGAAGTGTTAAAATCGAAGTCGCGAGCAGCTCTGCCACGATAGGATCTAATTGACAGTAATTGAGTCCGGATAGTATGTGAATACAGCCGTCTGTACGCACCGTAGAAGTCCACGCCGTCATGAAGGGGATCCCCCAGAGGAATATGGGTAGTGTAGTAAAGCCTCCATGCCGTCAAACCCAACAGGACAGCCGAGACAAGCCACTGTGACCATGTCGGTCTTCGTCAACGCCTATATAGGAGTATTACGGGGTACTTACGAGCCACGAGTACAGGAGAACACGAAGGTGCCAAACAGCAGGCATTGTGAGATGTCGGGCGCTGGTTAAGGGATGAGCGACAAGGACGGTGTGGGTAACAGGCGATTAGTGGTATGCAAGTGACGCACCGTTTAAGTAGTCATCGGCTGCGGTACAGAGATAGTTCCATGAATTAGGAGTGCTTGAAAGGCATGTTCATTACGTAGCGACGCCCCACCATAAGTCCCAAGTTCAGAACTGTCTTGAGGCCCAAGGAGGACCGGATCCTGAAAGGAAGGCGTGCTGCCCTGGTCGATTGTGCGTCGAGATTCAGGCTTGTTCGGTGACTCCGTACAGCTTTCGGGGATAGTATCAAAGTCGTTCGATTCTGCGTGCTTCCATCGCCTTCAGTACACTGACTCGTGGCCTAAGTTAAGATAATGTCGACCATGTTGTCGCCTGGCTTGATCCGGATGCTGTATCGACCCTTAACAAGGATTCATTTGCGATGGTGCCCGCCCTATTTGACGTCAATTACGAGCCTTCCTCGAGGCATAAGTCCCTATATTTAGGGTATAATGCTGGAACACGAGGCAAGAGGCTTCCACGTGCTGATTGGTGTGGACTCTTGTGGTGGGAAGAGCGAAAGCTGTGTATCAACATCTAACTCACGCGCACAGATAATCTCAACGAGCCTCGATGATCAGGCTACCCAAAGAGCATTGAGATGTATAATCCACGTTGCAGAGCCGCGAGTAGGTGATCAGCAAGATGCTGCGCAGGCAGATATTTGCAGAAGCAGTCAGTAGAGGTTGATCATCATTCTTCGGCGGAATGGATGTCCCCTCCGTTCGAGACTATGTAAGCCCAGCTCGGCGCCTTGTACCATAAAATAACGAATCGACTCACTTCGGGGATATACACAGGCTCCTAGAACCATCCGTCTCGCGTCCTCGATCCTCTCTGCTAGGGCGTGTGTGAAGATGTTATCTAATATGGCTTATATAATATAGTTTATTTATAGTTGTATTTCCTGATTAAGCCGAACGGTGAGGATGAGGACGCTATGAGACGGCTGGCCCAACTCGTCGTCCGAGGTTTTACCGGAATTATGTAAGGCGGCTAAGCGACTAACGACGCGTCGGTTTATTGACGTTCGTCGACTGCCCGATTTGGATTTCGAGGTGGCTTTCTCGTCGCACCTCAGCCGCCCTTCGAGCATCTCCTCTGCTCGCCGCGCGTCGAGGGGACATGGACATTGTAGCTGTCAATAACAGAATATTGTATATCTGAATTGTTGACTGCAAGTACTTCCGGTGAGCATGAGTAGGTACGGGAATCCTCCCACTTCAACAAAGAAAGCAGTGAACAGATATTTACCACAATAGTGCGGCAGCTACTGTCTCTGTATTTTTATCAAAGTTAAAGTAGATTTATATACACAATCTTCAAAGGTCTGGGGTTACTTTGCATCGAGGAGCCTGGTACTTGCACTTTTCAATGTATATAGAATAATCTATTCATCGAAATACATCGAAAATACAGAGCAACAGCTACTCATGCATTACTATCAAAACAGTGTTTTCTATTTAAAGATCAGATTGTATGCCCCGCCATCGACGCGCGGCGAGCAGAGGAGATGCTCGAAGGGCGGCTGAGGTGCGACGAGAAAGCCACCTCGAAATCCAAATCGGGCAGTCGACGAACGTCAATAAACCGACGCGTCGTTAGTCGCTTAGCCGCCTTACATAATTCCGGTAAAACCTCGGACGACGAGTTGGGCCAGCCGTCTCATAGCGTCCTCATCCTCACCGTTCGGCTTAATCAGGAAATACAACTATAAATAAACTATATTATATAAGCCATATTAGATAACATCTTCACACACGCCCTAGCAGAGAGGATCGAGGACGCGAGACGGATGGTTCTAGGAGCCTGGGATATACAGTGCTTTAGCCCTATGATATCGTTCGATAGATTCACAATAAAGTGCCACTTCCTTAGTCAAAGGGACCCAACTACGTCGACGGTCATATTGAAATGAAGTATAAGGATGGAAGGCCGGACTTCTGTACCGAAACCTCCTCGGCGCCGCCCTTACGCCATATTGCCTGTCCGCAAGCGCTCTCGGACAGGTGGCAAAACACGGGAAGCACACCAAAAGGCATGAGAGCAGGACCCCTGATTATCAGTATCGAGGCTTTGTGGAAACGCGGACAAAAGTTGGCCATCTGAGACCCCTCAGGCCTGATTTTTCGCGGACAAAGCGACCGATTTTGGGAGCCCAGCGGCCAACCCTTATTTTTCCCGCGGACATCACCTGCCCATTTTGGGCAGGATTTCTCGGCATACGCCGAGCGCGGGAAGATTTCAGCGTTACCCACGCCACAATTCCCAAATATGGAAGGCAAATCGAGCTGGCACCTGATTTTTCGCGGACAAAAGGGCGTAAAATCGGGAAATTTGGCGCGGACAAAGACGCTGAATTTTGGGCATCTAAAATAAAGCCTCGATACTGATTATCAGGGGTCCTATGAGAGCACACCAGGAATGGATTGACGGGCGCAAGCAAGGCATGGCTCTCTGCCTACCATTGTCGGCAACTGCCGAGACTGGAAAAGCTGACTGCCTAATCCGGAGTATAATAAGGGGTCCGTCTGACTCTTATGCTCAAACCGTCATAATGCGCTCGCGCTCAGAGGAACACACTTATTGTGACGCTGCCCACGACTATACATGTGGACCCATTCTTGCTGGAGCCTGTGTCATTGTCCTGTGCACGCATAGTATTGCCCGGGGAGAACCGCCTTCAGGATGCAATACGGCCTTCAGGCGCCTCACAGCTTCTGAGCTTTTTGTTATCTGACATATAAGGCGCCGGATACTACCTGGCCATCCCCACTTACGTGCAACCTTCAAGTTCTCGAGTGAACTCCCTATTTCCCTGAACATACGTCTGCCGGATTCCCCATGACTTCTCGATCCTTCGCCAGACAATCTCCCGCCCGGGCTGGTTCGAGTTGTGCGGCGTGCCTGATACGCTCCACAATCAACGATTCCTCGTACGAGACATACATCGTCGAATCCGCGAAGCGCTATGCACCAGAGTGCAGTACTTGTCGCGCGATCGTCAAGAAAGCTAGCATCCGGCGGTGGATTAGAAGAGGGCTCGGGATCAAGCTGCCGCTCAAGATCTCGGTCTCGTAGCACCTGGGTGCAGATTGCATCTATGGGCCTTACGACCGCTCGGGTGCATCTGTCGATACTATAACGTCACGGAGGCCGCAGTTATCTCCTGTGGAGAGTTGCCTACCGTCCGTCCAGTTTCAACCCTGATCGCACCGACCCACTTCCCATCCAAAGTACTGCGTCCAACGTCACGACGAAGGTCAGCCATACTCCCACTTGCTTTGTCGTTTTTGAGCACTAATACCCTTTTGCCTGAGTAGGACACTCGGTCTTCGCAAACGTGTACATCTAGGTTGCGCCAATGCGCGACCGTGTATATTCCTCACCGGAACCGCCATGCCCTGAAGAGCACCATGGCGCTTAGACATTAGGAGGCGCGGATAGCTGGATTCATGGGGGATACATGGCAAGCCCAAGCGGAAAAAGAGATGACCTTCTCCTTCTCTCACTCCCCTTAGACGTCGTAACATATCTATCGGTGCGGGACGCGGTGACAAGGCATCAAATGTTACTCATGGATTGACTGGTCTTCATACTATTGTATTCTCGTATAAGTAACGGCGGTCCCGCTCGGGCTCCCGCCCAAGAACACGAGCCATGAGACCCATCTATTTTCGTCTGTCAACATCCAGTTGTACCGGGGATACCTCGGATGGAGATACCACACCATCCTCGCCAACGCACGACATATGCCTCAACCTCCGGGCGGGCCTGTACATGGAGCAGGAGATACTCCGTTCCTGGTCAGATGACTCTGTTGGCCATACCGCGCCGGGCTCAGTCAGCAATCCGCCTGAGCAGTATATCTCGATATTTCTCTCCAGGCGCGTACTCCAAGATCACCGTCGTTAGAATGGCCAGCAGGAACGTACCGTACTTCAAGCTGAACACGGGGGCTTCCATCCCCGCTATCGGTATGTGTTACCAGAGACTACGGGGGTAAGGAGGTGACTTATCGGACTCGGAACGGCAGGATTGGGATGCTGGGGAGGGGTCACGAAGGAGGACAGATACGCTGCCAGGCATTGGATCCTAGCTGCTTTGAAGGTCGGTCTTCGCACGTAGGTCCCAAAGAGAATTTGTATTCACAGTCGCGTCAGGCGGGATACAGGCACCTGGACACTGCTTGGGCATACGGTAGGCATCCGAGCTTGGCAGATCCACAAAGCGTCGCTGATAGGAGGAATAAGGAACGGAGGAATCCGTCGGGTGGGCTATCAAGGAGTCCGGGATACCTCGCGAGGAGATATTCGTGACGACCAAGCTTCCGTGCGTATCTGCTAGTGATTCCGACAGTCGACCCGTATTCATGCCAGCATGCCAGTCCGCACCACGGAGGCATCGTCGAGGAATCCTTAAACCAGAGTCTGTCGGCGCTGAAGCTCGACTATGTCGACCTGGTTAGTAGCCTAATTCCCCTTCTGCCAGAGCTGATTCTCACGTGTATAATTCAACTGTACTCACAGTACCTCATTCACTGGCCGCAACGGTATGTATACGAGGATAACAACCCCGACCCCGTAGACGAGAACGGCAACCTCAAGGTGACCGAGAGCCCGAGTATCCCGGAGGTGTGGGCGCAGATGGAGAAGGTGTTCGCGGCGGGGAAGGCCAAGGCGATCGGAGTGAGCAATTATTCGATAAAGACGTACGTGCAGCTCGCGCGTCAGAGAGGAGTATGTTATTCATGGACCCGGATTTACAGCTTGGAGATATTGCTGCCTTCGGCGAAGGTTGTGCCAGCCATGAACCAAGTCGAGTGAGTTGTCCGACCAACGCGTAGCTAGACTTTGAGTGATCAACGTGATCCAGGCTGCACCCTTACCTTGCTCAGCCTGAGCTGAAAGCGTACTGCAATTCTAAGGGCATCTTGATGACGGCGTACACTCCTACAGGTGAGCCCTCTGAGCCAATTACTGGCGCCGCCGTTATACTCATGATCTGGCAGGGTACGCCACCGTGCGGAACGACCCTACGATCACCGAGCTGGCCGCAAAATACGGTGTCAACTCGGCGCAGATCATTTTGGCGTGGCACGTCTGGAGGGGGAACTGCGCAGTGCCCAAGAGCGCCAACCCGGAGCACCAGAAGACAAATCTGATTGTAAGTCATTATAAACAAATTTTATAGATCGTGCTTTCACACCGGCGTCGTAGCTCCCCAAACTGTCGCAAGAAGATTTGGAGAAGGTTAGTTCGCTCGACCGTGGTCAGAGGTTGTGCAACAAAGGGGACGAAAAGGGCCAAGTTTACGGATATACCCTCGAGCAGCTCGGGTGGTAAACTGACTCGTCCAAGCGTGTTGCGGTGTATCTTTAGGTGTAAGATATGTTGTATGTACCGGATGCGTGGCGGGTACAAACGAGACTGCGCAATGTCCGACGCTGCCAGAGCTCACCTCGGATTCGAATATCCCAACAATAGTCGAACTCAATAAGCGTTTCTCGCTCATTTTCTCAGTGCGCTGAAGCCTTTCGGGGTCCCTGCCGAACGGCGATCGAACGAGAAAACGAGAAACAGCTCCTCGAGCTGTTTCTCTCGTTTCTCTGGGGCGGACTTTCAATTGCCATGCGCTGTACTGATGTACCAGGCTCTCGGTTGCTTATGTCTTGCCTAATACGATATGTTTTGGCTTGTTGTGACGCGCTGTTGGACGCGCACTAAGTTGTGTTCTGGCACCCTTGCAACTACTGAGCTAGGGCAGGGCCAGTATAGTGACCCTGCTGATACTGCCACATACCATCCCAGTCCGCCATAGAATACAGCACGTGGGATGAGCACGAGCTATCTGACAGCTGTGGTGTCTAGCATGCGACGAGAAATCCGCCAGAAAATGCACGCTCAATAACTTCGGGTTTCTCCGTGTCGCCGCGTCGGCAGGAGGGGTGCCAGTGCGCCCGAGAAAATGAAAACGAGAAACGATATTGAGTTGGGCTAATAATGACGA